TGAGCCTGCCACCATGTGTTCCCCAGGCAAATGCCCTATTGCCTAAGCCACTCCAGAAGCCACCCACTGCCTTACCTTCAGCAGGTCCCTTATCCTGCCTTCCTAATACAGGAGCCAGGTCCATCCCTCGGGGCAGCCTGTGTTGGCAGCCCAGCCATTGCCTGAGTGGGTGGGGGATAGGACAGCAGCCTGGGGAACACAGATTGGTGGGTTTAAGTCCTGCCCACCCTGGGAGCAGCAGAGCCAAAGCAGCTTCACCCCTGCTCTGGGCCCTACCCCCCACCCCCACCCCGAAAAGCAGCTAGCATGTACAGCAATGGTTCCATGTGCTGCCCCTCATTCACAGGCACTGACCCCAAAGCCTCCACTGTCCACAGTTCTCCATTATTGATCAAGGGGTGCTGCAGGAGTGGTGTCTGCTGGCAAGGACAGCATGTAGGAGAACCTCTGCTCTGACCTTCTCAGGGGGCTGCAGGGACATGCCAACCACCTCCAGGAGCACAATCAACCATAGGGATAATTACTGGCTGGGCATTTTAGTACTCATTTAGGCCTGAGAGAGTTATGAAATGCACAGACCAGTCAGAAACTAAAAATAACCCACTTTGCAAGCAGTGAAAGTAGTAACAATCCCCCATGTACATGTTGTGTCAGGAGATGAGGGAAGGTCAGTGTGTGATAGTGACAGAGATTTGCATTGCCAAACTCCCTCCATCCTCTTCTCTCTGTGTAGAGATGGGGTACAGGATTGGGGGGAGGAGGGACATCCTGATATCAGCCCACTCCTCAGCAAGCAGGAGGCTTCCAAGGGGCTGCTCCAAGGCAAGAGGACAGGAACAGCATGACAGTGGGTAGAGGGGCAACCGAAGTGCCAGCAATTGAGAGGTTTCTGGCCAAACCAGTCAGAATCCCCTGTCAGAGGCTTCAAGAGCTACCAGTAGATCTCGATCTACTGATTGGTGACCACTGGTCTAACCCCATACAATGGCTATAAATCGATACAGACTGGAAAGAAGACACGCATTTTTAAGTGGGAGAGTAATTAACCATCAGAAATATTTACCAAGGATTATAGTGGATTCTCCATCACTGACAAGTTCAAGAGACTGCCACTTTAAGGAATTGCCCCCTCTTCCTGCTGCTTTTCTCCTTCCATCCTGCTGACTTTATCAGCTGGCAAACACATGTTAGCAATCCAGTCAGTTGGCAGGGCTGTGAGTGCAGGGGACTCCCAGCTCACAGTGTGTGCCCCATGGCCTGCAAGGCAACATACAGCAACGTTGACATCGTTGAACCAGGACTAGAGGGACTATGGGACTTCGAGGCAAGGGGGAAGGCAGGTATGGAGCAGCCATTATCCTTCACATGTCTCTGACTCAGGAGTGTTGGCCCTGGCCAGCACCTGCCAGGAGATTGGCATTCAACAGGGTGGACCATGGGTATCTCCTGGGTACTCTGCAGGCTTTCAGCTTCAGGCCCCATTCCGTGGGCTTTCTCTGTGTGCTGTATGCCTCCGTGGAGTGTTTGGTCAGGCTAAATTGGACCCTGACTGAGCCGATCAGCTTCGGGTGGGGAGTATATCTGGAGTGTCCACTGTTGGGCCAGCTGTATGCTCTGGCCATCAGAGCCCTTCCTCTATCTTCTCCATCAGAGGTTGACAGGGTTGGTGCTCCAAGAGCCAAAGCTGCATCTGGTCCTGTTGGCATATGCTGATGATGTGTTCCTCTTGATCCAGGACGTGGGTGACCTGGTGCAGGTGGAGTCCTGCCAAGCCGTCTATTCAGCGGCCTTCTCCACCCGGGTCAGCCAGGTCAAGAGCTCTGGCCTGGTGGTTGGAGATGGATGGCAGACAAGCTCCCTCCCACCCGTGTTTCAGGTCATCAGTTGGAGTGTGGGTCCGCTGCTTTATCTCAGTGTTTTTCTATCTGCCACGCATCATTCCCCGCCAGTTCTCTGGCAGGGTTTGGAGGCCAGGGAGGGTGAGCGGCTGTGGTGATGGACAGGACTCCGCTGATTCTCTCCCTGCATGGGAAGGTGCTGGTTCTGAACTAGTCCTGTCCATGCTCTGGCACTGGCTCAACACACTGAGTCCAGCCCTGGAGGTTCTGGCCTGGCTCCAGAGGATAGCCCTGGAATTCTTCTGGCTAGGACTGCACTGGGTCTCTGCAAGGGTCCTGTGTCTTCCCCTGGAGGAGGGGGGCCAAGGCCTGGTCTGCATGTGTAGCCAGGTCCAGACCTTCCACCTCCAGGCTTGCAGAGACTCCTGTATAGTGCAGGTAGTCCGGCATGGAGCACTTTGGTGCGCGTCTTCCTCTGCTACCTCCAAGGGCTCCTATACAACCGGCAGCTCTTTTTTATCTTTCTGCAAGACCTCTCAGAGCTGCCAGAGTTCTACCAGGAACTCTTCCAGACCTGGAAGCTGTTCTCGGTGACCAGGTCCGTTGTGGCCACCAAGGGAACAGACTTCCTCGTAGAGCCCCTGCTCCACAATCCAGCCTTGTGTGTGCAGGTGGCGGAGTCTCCCTCGGTGTGCTGGAGGTTGGTCCTGGCAGAAACCACCAAGGTCAGAGACCTCACTCAGCGCATGGTGCTCTCTACCCTCTGAAGCCCTCTACACATGCTCCAGGAGGTGAAGGCAGCTTTCTCACAGCCCGCTCTCGATTTCCTGCAGCAAGCCTTGTGAGAGGGTACACCCCGCTCCTCCCTTACTGCAAGCCCGCCAGCCCTTTTTTCTTGGGTCCCTGTTCCGCAAGCCCTGAGCCTGCCACCATGTGTTCCCCAGGCAAATGCCCTATTGCCTAAGCCACTCCAGAAGCCACCCACTGCCTTACCTTCAGCAGGTCCCTTATCCTGCCTTCCTAATACAGGAGCCAGGTCCATCCCTCGGGGCAGCCTGTGTTGGCAGCCCAGCCATTGCCTGAGTGGGTGGGGGATAGGACAGCAGCCTGGGGAACACAGATTGGTGGGTTTAAGTCCTGCCCACCCTGGGAGCAGCAGAGCCAAAGCAGCTTCACCCCTGCTCTGGGCCCTACCCCCCACCCCCACCCCGAAAAGCAGCTAGCATGTACAGCAATGGTTCCATGTGCTGCCCCTCATTCACAGGCACTGACCCCAAAGCCTCCACTGTCCACAGTTCTCCATTATTGATCAAGGGGTGCTACAGGAGTGGTGTCTGCTGGCAAGGACAGCATGTAGGAGAACCTCTGCTCTGACCTTCTCAGGGGGCTGCAGGGACATGCCAACCACCTCCAGGAGCACAATCAACCATAGGGATAATTACTGGCTGGGCATTTTAGTACTCATTTAGGCCTGAGAGAGTTATGAAATGCACAGACCAGTCAGAAACTAAAAATAACCCACTTTGCAAGCAGTGAAAGTAGTAACAATCCCCCATGTACATGTTGTGTCAGGAGATGAGGGAAGGTCAGTGTGTGATAGTGACAGAGATTTGCATTGCCAAACTCCCTCCATCCTCTTCTCTCTGTGTAGAGATGGGGTACAGGATTGGGGGGAGGAGGGACATCCTGATATCAGCCCACTCCTCAGCAAGCAGGAGGCTTCCAAGGGGCTGCTCCAAGGCAAGAGGACAGGAACAGCATGACAGTGGGTAGAGGGGCAACCGAAGTGCCAGCAATTGAGAGGTTTCTGGCCAAACCAGTCAGAATCCCCTGTCAGAGGCTTCAAGAGCTACCAGTAGATCTCGATCTACTGATTGGTGACCACTGGTCTAACCCCATACAATGGCTATAAATCGATACAGACTGGAAAGAAGACACGCATTTTTAAGTGGGAGAGTAATTAACCATCAGAAATATTTACCAAGGATTATAGTGGATTCTCCATCACTGACAAGTTCAAGAGACTGCCACTTTAAGGAATTGCCCCCTCTTCCTGCTGCTTTTCTCCTTCCATCCTGCTGACTTTATCAGCTGGCAAACACATGTTAGCAATCCAGTCAGTTGGCAGGGCTGTGAGTGCAGGGGACTCCCAGCTCACAGTGTGTGCCCCATGGCCTGCAAGGCAACATACAGCAACGTTGACATCGTTGAACCAGGACTAGAGGGACTATGGGACTTCGAGGCAAGGGGGAAGGCAGGTATGGAGCAGCCATTATCCTTCACATGTCTCTGACTCAGGAGTGTTGGCCCTGGCCAGCACCTGCCAGGAGATTGGCATTCAACAGGGTGGACCATGGGTATCTCCTGGGTACTCTGCAGGCTTTCAGCTTCAGGCCCCATTCCGTGGGCTTTCTCTGTGTGCTGTATGCCTCCGTGGAGTGTTTGGTCAGGCTAAATTGGACCCTGACTGAGCCGATCAGCTTCGGGTGGGGAGTATATCTGGAGTGTCCACTGTTGGGCCAGCTGTATGCTCTGGCCATCAGAGCCCTTCCTCTATCTTCTCCATCAGAGGTTGACAGGGTTGGTGCTCCAAGAGCCAAAGCTGCATCTGGTCCTGTTGGCATATGCTGATGATGTGTTCCTCTTGATCCAGGACGTGGGTGACCTGGTGCAGGTGGAGTCCTGCCAAGCCGTCTATTCAGCGGCCTTCTCCACCCGGGTCAGCCAGGTCAAGAGCTCTGGCCTGGTGGTTGGAGATGGATGGCAGACAAGCTCCCTCCCACCCGTGTTTCAGGTCATCAGTTGGAGTGTGGGTCCGCTGCTTTATCTCAGTGTTTTTCTATCTGCCACGCATCATTCCCCGCCAGTTCTCTGGCAGGGTTTGGAGGCCAGGGAGGGTGAGCGGCTGTGGTGATGGACAGGACTCCGCTGATTCTCTCCCTGCATGGGAAGGTGCTGGTTCTGAACTAGTCCTGTCCATGCTCTGGCACTGGCTCAACACACTGAGTCCAGCCCTGGAGGTTCTGGCCTGGCTCCAGAGGATAGCCCTGGAATTCTTCTGGCTAGGACTGCACTGGGTCTCTGCAAGGGTCCTGTGTCTTCCCCTGGAGGAGGGGGGCCAAGGCCTGGTCTGCATGTGTAGCCAGGTCCAGACCTTCCACCTCCAGGCTTGCAGAGACTCCTGTATAGTGCAGGTAGTCCGGCATGGAGCACTTTGGTGCGCGTCTTCCTCTGCTACCTCCAAGGGCTCCTATACAACCGGCAGCTCTTTTTTATCTTTCTGCAAGACCTCTCAGAGCTGCCAGAGTTCTACCAGGAACTCTTCCAGACCTGGAAGCTGTTCTCGGTGACCAGGTCCGTTGTGGCCACCAAGGGAACAGACTTCCTCGTAGAGCCCCTGCTCCACAATCCAGCCTTGTGTGTGCAGGTGGCGGAGTCTCCCTCGGTGTGCTGGAGGTTGGTCCTGGCAGAAACCACCAAGGTCAGAGACCTCACTCAGCGCATGGTGCTCTCTACCCTCTGAAGCCCTCTACACATGCTCCAGGAGGTGAAGGCAGCTTTCTCACAGCCCGCTCTCGATTTCCTGCAGCAAGCCTTGTGAGAGGGTACACCCCGCTCCTCCCTTACTGCAAGCCCGCCAGCCCTTTTTTCTTGGGTCCCTGTTCCGCAAGCCCCCCTGGGCTCCATATCCCTGGACCTCCAGCTGGCTACAGAATTTGCAGTTGGTCTGTTTCTGAACGGTGTCCAGAGACCATCTGTACATGCTTGTGCTCCACATGTTGCATTTCCTCACTCTTGTGTCCCGCCCTGACACCAAATGGCTGGACCATCTAAGACCTGTCAAGGGTGAGGAACCCCAATGGGCCAGTGTGTACTCCACCTTAATTCCATGGCCCAGCAGGGACATGAGCTGGCGATTCCTCCATCCAAGGCCTGGTCTGCATGTGTAGCCAGGTCCAGACCTTCCACCTCCAGGCTGGTATATGCCTACTTACAATGCGCCAGGTTGCAGCCCCATTTCTGGCTCCTCCAGAATCTCCCGCTGAAGTTCCAGCTGCACTTTTCCCCTTGCTTTTTCATTTACACACACCCTATCTGAGGCTCCACAAAGTTTCAAGATCTCATCAACCTCCTCCTGGCCCTAGCAAAAGCTGCTATCTATAATGCCAGGAGGAGAATGTTGAATGAGGGGGTGCTCTGCAACAGTGGGGCCTACTTCCGTTCCTCCCTGGTCTTATGCATCTGGACAGAGTTCCTCTGGGTGGCATCCGCTGGCTCCCTAGAGAGCTTTAAGGAGCAGTGGGCACTGTCCGAGGTTCTCTGCTTGGTGTCCCCATCCATTTCCCTCATTTTGAACCTTTGACTGCATACCTGATCCTGTTTTTCATCATTTGTCCCCCGTAATCAGTTGAACCCTGGGTCTAGCTGTCCCTCCCAAAAGGCTTTGGAAGTGGGCAGGCGCTAGCCCCCCTTTGGGTATCAAATAGTGCCAGGGGCACTGATAAACTGTGGGGGGAAAGGACATTGTGGAATCCCATGGGTGCTGATGGAGCCAGTGGGGGACCTGTCACCCTGTGCTTCGCTCTCCAGCCAGCAGTGATGAGCATGCTGAAGAGGAGAGCCAATATGAGGCTGTCGATCTAGCTATTGGAGGAAGGAGGAGGCAGCTGGCTCAAGCTCCAGGTAATGGGTTTGGGATTGGCTGGCAGGAGAGGGTCCAATGTGCTGGATTCTATTCCTGGCTCTGGGAGCAGACTGTGATCTAATTGGTGGGGGCAGGGAAGGAGTGGTCAGGACTGCTGGGTGGATTCCATCCCTAGCTATGGCAGACAAGTGGGGTCTAGTGGTTAGAGTGGCTGGAAATGGGAGTCAGGACTCCTGGGGTACGTTTAGACTACATGGCTCCGTTGACGGAGCCATGTAGATTTGTTTGTTCGGCAAAGAGAAATGAAGCCGTGATTTAAATAATCATTTCCCTCTGCCGATCAGCCTAATCTACATGGATCCATCGATGGAGCCATGTAGTTTAGACACACCCCTGGATTCCTAGCTCTGCCACTGGCTTTCCACCCTCCCCACCCCGCGCCCCATTCCTCCCTAGAGTGAAATTATGCTCCCAGGAGTGGGGGAGTCATTGGAGAGAGCTCTGATGGCTTCTCTGGCTATCAAGGCAATGTGCTTTTTCCATGTTGATTTCCCATCCCCGTAGTGTGGAAATGGAGACGAGGCCAGTGGTGGTCTTTGGCCCGTGCGACTGTCCTGGGAGTCTCTGTGCTGCTGA